CAATTTCTGAGGCCAACTCTTCAGACAGGGATTGGACTGGACTGTGGGACATAAAGTGATACTCGTGAGGAGTGTGCCTCTTAGCTGAAGTTGATACAAACGATTAAATGGGCAGCTTCTGTCCGGAGGTGAGATGAGAAGGCAGGGAGAGTTAGGAGCTGGTTGAATGGACATGGGAATCAGGTGTGGAAAGGAGGAGTGTGCTGTCACAGTATGGGAAAAATAATTAGAGTCACATAACAATATATGTATAAATTACTGTATGAGAAAAAATTTTTTAAAAAAGAATATTAGATATTCCAATAATATTTGGAAATCAGGTTGAGCAAGCTGAATTTGCAAAAAAAAAAAAGTCCATTGAGCTTCCACGTGGTTTCCTTTGAATTTCAGAGGAGAAAAAGGCTTTGGGAGATCAAGTTGGAAGCTTCCTCTAAAATTCCCAGTCAGGAGCAAGTTAGGACCACCCAGACATGCTTAATAGGGAAGCGCTGTCCGTGGTGCTAGTAACCGCGCACGCCCCTTTCCGAGGCTCTTTCCACTGAATTCGCTTTGCGAAGCTCTCGTCCTTGCCTTATAGAAGATTCTCTGTTACTCTGCTCATTGACTTCTCCCTATCTTACCACTCTTTACCTATGCCTCATTCAACAACAACCACAAAAAAAAAAAAAACTATCGCTTCAATTTCCTAATCAACTCTAAACAGTTTCTATATTTCAGACACTATGGCCCATGCCTACCACTTAGCAGAATCTCTCAAAACTTGGCTCAGGATATCTTTTTCTAATCTTTTTAAGTGTCAGGGAAATATAAAGCTGAAAGCCAGGCACAGGAACTAGTTAATTTATGATTCATCCTTTAAAACTCTCTTCAGCTGGCTTCTCCATTAAGAAACTTTCCCTGCAATTCCAACTTAGGTTAAGCTCCCCTCTTTCTTAGTCTCAATATACCCTGTAGATACATTTCTCAGTAGAGTTATCATATTAAATTGAAACCATTTATTAGCTTTGAATGCCACAAGGGAGAGATTCTTAAAAGCCAGGACCCATAACATATTCAACTGTGGACTCCTAGAATATAGGACATGCTGTATTTAGTTTTGTTGAACTAAATTCAATTTCTGGATTCATTAGAGGAACAGTCCCAACAACACTCCTGTAAAAACCTTCTAGTTTCATTTGGCTGTGCACTGAATCTCAGTGTTGCTAGGCTCTTTTAATGAAGACACTCCAGACTGAGCCCATTTGCCACCATATCCACAAACATCAGTCTGGTGACTCATCCCCTCACAGTGACTGGCAATGAATTAATGCCACCCATTTCAAAGACTCTGTATGCCCATTGCCCCTCATCTTTCCTCTTCCTTCTCCCATTCTACCTAGACACTTGAAATCTCCAAAACAATGTGTGTGAGAACTGAGCCCAAAGAGTACCATGAGTTTCAACCAGAAGCAGACTTCCATTCTTCAGACCAGACAAAGGAATGGAGTGGCCATCAACAAATAAAATGACTTTTTCCAGATAAAAGTGGAAGTTTATGGGAATGCAAAATGTTATGGCCACTTCTGAAGACAGTTCAGTAGTTTCTTACAAAGCTAAACATAGTCTTATCATACAATCCAGCAATCAAACTCCTGGGTATGAACCCAAATGAGTTTAAAACATGTCCACACAAAAACTTGCACAAGAATGTCATTGCATCTTTATTTATAATTGCCAAAAATTGGAAGCAACCAAGATGTCCTTCAATGAATGGCTAAACAAAATATGGTACCTCCATACAATGAAATATTATTCAGTGATTTAAAAGAAATGAGCTGTCAAGTCATGAAAAGACATGGAGGAACCTAAAATGCGTATTGCTAAGTGAAAGAAGTCAGTCTGAAAAGGTTACATACTGTATGATTCCAACTATACGAAATGTTGGAAAAGGCAAAACTATTAAGACAGTAAAAAGATCACTGGTTGTCAGAGGCTTGGGAGGAGGGGAAGAGAGATGAATAGGTGGAGCACAGGGTATTTTTCAAGTGGTGGAACCATTCTATATTTTTCTGTAATGGCGGATACATGACATAATGCACTTGTCAACATAACTGTACAACATAAAGAGTGAACCCTACTGTAAACTATGGACTTTAATTAATGATAATGTACCAATACTGGTTCATCAGTTGTAACAAATGTGCCACACCAATGCAAGATATTAACAGGGGAAGCTGGGGGTGGGGACAGGGAGTATATGAAAACTCTACTTCTGTGTAATTTTTCTGTAAACCTAAAACTTCTCTGAAAAAACAAAGTCTAATAAATACTTCTTTTAAAAAAGAATGTCAAATAAGAGTGAAAGACTGAGGAATTAAGAAACTAAAAACTAAGAAATGGGGGTGCGTAAAGAGAGGAAACTTGCTACTACAGCTGCTTCCTTCCCTGCCCTGTCTAGTGGATTTCAGCCCTTTTGAGGCTCAGTCAGAAGATCTTCAGCCCCAGCCCCCATTTCCATGGGCCCCACTGTCTTTAAAGAACTCTTCCTCATTCTACAGAGGATGAAGGGGAGAAGGAGTCAGCGCTAAGATACATCAGAAGAAACACGCTGAGTCTCTCATTCATGAGGAAGCAAGCAATTGGCCTCCCTTTAAGACTTCGTCTTCCTGAGTACCCTGATCCAAAACGATTTTATAAATAACTGTTGGATGTTAGGAGAAGCCCACTCTCATGCAGTTCCTCACCAGTTTTCAGGCAGCAGATACACAGCTTGTGGTTCTTTTCCTATTTCAGTGTAGCATCAGCTGCAATTTTTTTTTAAATCTTTAAAGCAATGAATATGCCCATTGAAACTCATCTAGGAAGATTAAAAGAAAAAAACAAGCACTTGGCCTTTAAATCTTCAGAAGAGGGTATAATGACAGGTTCAGCCTGTTTAATGACAGGCCCAACACCACACCTTTGTTTTATTATGCTTCATTATTACTGCATAAATTTCCTTTATTACTCATAATAAATAAAAATCAAATGCTTACCAAGGTGGGTTAAGCAGATAAGAGTGCAAACAAAGGTGTACTTTACAAATATAATGAAAATATGATCTCTGATTCCTTTTTTTTTTTTTTTAAAGTTTTAAGTTTTTCAAATGTCTTTCACGTACCAGGTTGCTACCCTCAGTCTCGGTTTGTTGTTGTTGCTGCTGTTTTGTTTTGTTTTTGAGGGGGAGGAAGGCCTGGCAATCCGCGTCTTATAAAGATTACAGCCAGGAAAACTATCTTGCAATTCTACTCTGTAACACATGAGGTAGCCATGAGTCTTAATCGACTCCACAGGAACGGGTTTGGGTCTTTGTTTTGTTTTTTAAATCTATAATTAAAAGATGAAAAGAAAGAGAAAAGCACAGCAAAACAAGATTCTCGGGATTTTTCAGTTTTTCTGGTTGACTGATTCAAACAGAAAGGCACACCCAAAAGAACACTGCTAAGATGCAAGATGTGAAACTTGTGAAGTTCAAGTACTGCCTGGGGATGAATTTAACCTGCATGACAGGTGCAGAGCTGTCACTTTCAGACATCTTAAAAGAGACAGAGTTATTTTAAATGCATTTCTCTCTGCCGCTCGATTACATAGGGAGCGACTAATCAGGAAACGTCTCCAGAGTGAAACCGGCTGGTGCGGAGCTGAGAGGAATAGAAGTCCTCTGCTCCGCCTGCTGGGGATTAGGAGCTAAAGGCAGTGGGTCAACGTTTCCACAAATGTAGCCTGCCGGATTTGCTGGACACACAGCGAGCCGCGTTTCCGGCGTTCCTGGGCGGCTTGCCGCGCCAGCTTCTGCGCATGCGCCTCAACGCCTACTGGGGCGAGACAGCCCACCCATCACCGGTCGGCTGTGACGTTAGACTGGCCTCCGGGCGTCCATCGAGGGACGGGTCCCGCTGGCCGGCCCGACAGGGGGCGGAGCCTAAGGGGGTGGGGCGAGCCCGGCCCGCGGCCCAGCTGGGAACGGAATTCACTCCTGGTCCGCTCCCCACTCCGTAGAGTGAGGCCGGGCGGTGCGGACGCTGCGGCACGCACGCACTGCGGTCGAAGCCGCTTTGCGTTCAGCTGCGGCCGCTCCAGGTGCCTTTACCCGGGAGCGGGCCTGGCGTGTCTGCTGGCTCTCGAGCGCCCGGAAAAGCCTGAAGCTAGCCCCCGGCCGCTCGGCCATTGTACGCACCCCCAACCCGCAAGAGGACAGCAGGAGGGGACTGAGTCTAACTGAGCTCCCCTGGGGAAGGGAAAGCGCGCTGGGCGGGGTGGAGAGGGAGGGAGGGAGGATCGCGAAGTTCACGGCCAGTGGTGGAGTATCCCGGCCGCGCACGTCTGAGGGTGGCGGAATGCGCGAGGAGGACAAGGGCATGCTCGGCGATGGCAGCGGCGATGCGGGCCTAGCCAACGCTGCGGCGCGGGGACAAGTGGAGACGGTGCGGCAGCTCCTGGAAGCCGGCGCGGATGCCAACCGAGTCAACTGCTTCGGGAGGCGCCCGATCCAGGTACCTGGGGCCCCGGGGCCTGGCCGGCAGGGGGCGCGTGAGCGCGGAGCGCAGCCTCCCTGGTTCGGGGGCTGGGACCGACACCTTCACCGACGTAGACGTGTGCAGGAGCCTTTTCTTGGAGGTGTGGAGCCCCGCCGTAAAGCAGGTTTTCTCACAGCAAAAATCCTAAAGAAAAGAGATTGAAAAACTCAGTGCTTCAGGTTTGGTTTTCTTTTCAATGATTGAAATATCCACATTTCCGAAGCCATCTCATGATCAGAGATGCAAGTAATACATTCAACTGGAAAGGAAAGGGGGTTATTTGGGGTGGACTGTTTTATCTGTTTGTCTTTTAACGATAAAGGTGAATAAATTACAAATACCACAATCTGGGTTGGACTTAAGGAATTCTTCTACAAAATGATAGCATTGAAAAAAAATTCACCGTGAACTTTTAAGCCTCCATGTGGAATCTTTTTGTTGTCTTTCCTCATAGAGGCGAATTGAATACAAAACAAGGAGATAGGTTTCCTCAACCACAGTACTTAATTTCTTTATCTTATGTTAGCAACGTCTCTTGAGTGTTACATAAGAGGAAAAAAAAATGTTCCCATAGATTTGTACTGAGTATCATACGGAATTCTTGGATTACAAAAGCATTTCGGCAGCAACTGTTAGGTCTTTTTTCAATGGCAAAGGGTCTTCATAAATAATTAGCCTCTTAATTATTAAAGTACATTTATTCAATATGTTTAACCATTAATTTCGCTTTAATTAGCCCACCCATTGCCCTGGAGTCGATTTCGATTCACAGCGACCCTGTAGGACGGAGGAGAACTGCCCCATAGGGGTTCCAAGGTTGTAATCTTCACCGGAGCAGGCTGCCACATCTTTGTCCCGAGGAGCGGCTACTGGGTTCGAACTGCCCTTTCGGTTAGCAGCGGAGCGCTGCTTAATCACTGCGCGATCAGGGCTCCTTTTAAGCTTAAATTCCATTAAAATCCAAATTAATGCTTTTGCGCTTTACTGTTGACTATTATGGTTCATACTCAGTATTCACCTCATTACTTTTCCGAACAAGCTATTATTAAGAAATCTTGGCATTAATGTACACTTTTAAGAAAACAGGTGTTCATTCCCTTTGAATACATAGCAATTCTTAAAAAATTGGTATAACAAATGAGGAATAGTTTAAAGGCAACGAAAATACTGAAAAGTGGTTTCTAAAGACTTCTTGTTTTGTTTTCTTATAGTTTTAATTCACCATCTTCTGAGATTAAAAACCATTTTTCCTCTTCTCTCTATATAAAGATCCCCCTTTACATCACCAGTGGAAATGATAAATTATATCATGGTTTTTAAGAGAAGAAATGGATGTTTCTAATATTCATGAAACAAAACTAGAGGTATACTGCCTTTCAATCACATGGTACATTTTAAAGCACATAAACCCACAAGGAAAAAAAAAACTTCATTTCGGACATTTAGTTATCAAAAATCGTTTTTACACTTCACTTAAAATAAGAAAATCTTGCATAATGTGTGTTCACAAAAGGATGCTATAGAATTTCTCCTCCAAAGCACTTTTTCTAAGTTATGCATTGTTCTGATTTGACTGCAAATAGCCAAGCTCTTTTTTTATACAGCAAAATACTTACTATTTAACATTATAAAATCCTAGCGAAACCGTACAGTATAAATGTAGTGTTTGCTTTACATGGTACATTAAATATATTACACACTAAATATTAAAAATGATGAACTGTGTATTAAAAATCATTTATTTTCATCATCTTGTAAAACTATAAATGACTTGATATAGTTTTTCCTCCGTCCAACTTCTGCTCAAATTATCAGACTATAATCCATTTATGAGCAGACATATATGAAATAAGGCAAAAGGCTTCCACAGATTTGCAGCGAGAACCAAACAATGTAAACCTCTGTAAATTTAGTTTACTTCTAGTATTACCCCAACTTCTGAAAAAAAAATCAGTTGACTGCCTAATAAATATTTTTAGACCTGCATTATGGGAAAGGAGGGGAGCAAAGGAAATAACTGAAGACTTTAAAAGCCATTTAAGCTTAACTCCATCCCTAAATCGTGTAACAAAATAGATTTCCATGTTCCAGTGGAAATCAAGAATTTTTTTGTTCCTACAACGATAAACACTTTGTCATCAGCTCTTTCTTGTCTCACGTTTGGATTAAAAAATGGAATTCAATTTGAGCCAAGAAACGCGTATAGGAGGGGGGAATTGCGTCAGCAACTTAAGAGTAACCAGACACCTGAAGCTTGTACACGCCTCGCAATTGGGTGGGTTCTTCATAAATATGTATTTATTTAAAGTGGCCTCACCCACCCCCGCCGGGGTTTCTTGTTCCCAAGCCTGCAGTTCGCTGACCTGCCTGTCTCCTTGACTGCTCTGCTTTCCCCGCAGGTCATGATGATGGGCAGCACCCCTGTGGCCGAGCTGCTGCTGCTCCATGGCGCCGAGCCCAACTGCGCGGACCCCGTCACCCTCACCCGACCGGTGCACGACGCCGCGCGGGAAGGCTTCCTGGACATGCTGATGGTCCTGCATCGCGCCGGGGCGCGACTGGACGTGCGCGATGCCTGGGGTCGCCTGCCCGTGGACCTGGCTGAGGAGCGGGGTCACCGCGATGTCGCCCGGTACCTGCGTGCGGCCACAGGGGACTGACGGCAGGCGCATCCAGCCGCCCACGACGACTTTTCTCTCCCGTTCCCCACCCCACCTAGTTCAATGACGGCTGCAAACGTGGAGCGGCGGAACGCCTGCATGCCTTTCTGAGCGGCCGACTGCGCGGAGGGAGGAGGAGCAAGCCCGGAATAAGTTAATTTGTGCTTTTTGCTGGATCTGGCCCTAGACGCTCACCGTGAAGCCAGACTCAGAAGGGTGGGGCCCATGAGTGGATTTCCAGAGAGATTTTGGGTGGGATGTGGAGTTCCCAGGTGTCGTTTACTTTTCGGAGTTTCCTGACGGAAAGTGGCACGCGAAGAAGTCCGCAAACACCCCCGGCGCCTGCGAAATCTTCATACCGATGATGCTGAGGAGTAGGAGGCGGGGTGACTGGCTTTCAGGTCCGGGGTGGTCAGTGCGTTTGCCCCACTGACTGTGGAAGACAGCACTCTGAATCCTGTTGGCGCGCGTAAGGCCCTGGGGCTACAAGGGAAACTCGGAAGACCGACGCCCAAACAACGATGAGGGTTGTGCGGGCTTCAGTGAGCAACCAACCCTTTACTCGCTGTGCGGTGCGCGGCAAGTCAATCTGAAAGCTCTGGAAACTAGCGCCCAGCTCCAGGGAGTGGAAGAGAAAGAACATGGGAGCGATGGCAGATGTACCTGCAAACTCTAAAATCCCTGGGTCACCTTGGTACAGAGTCACTCTCCAAAGGGTGCTGGCTTTTGCTTGTATTTGGTCCTGGAGCGCTTCCCCAGGGCATTCCAGATGCAGCAGGAGTCAAACAGTGTGCATAATGAAGCGGGAGGTGCTAAGAGCAATTGTAGCGCTAACTGTAGTGGTTTGCTTCATCTACATACAATAGGATACGGAAATCCCCCTGTAAATTGCCACTTGAAAAGATTTCGTAATATTTTGTACTTCTGAGTTGTTCTTCAGTAACAGTCTTATTTAATGGGGAGGCTTTAAATAACAAAGTAGCCCTTGGTAAAGAGGTGAGAAAGAACTACAGCTCTTAAAGGAACTAAACGCACAGTGGCAAACTTAGTGTCAAACGCCTACCTTTACTTTCACTTTTAACCTATTTATTTCTTTTGTTAAATTCTCTGACCGTTTCCTTTGCCCGGGTGTCTCAGGGGGGTCAAAATATTAAATATTCCAAATGTCTTTTAGAAGATCAATGCACTTATCCAGTAAATTATCTCGAGATATTTCTAAAAGAGTTGCTGAAAGAAATTGAGTGTAAAACTGTTGAAATATATCATGATGGCTTGTGGAATGTCATTACTGAACAAACTAAAGGTGTACTGCTTTGGGGGTTAATTTTCTATATTGTTTGATTCATTAGGCATTGAAAATGGAGATTTCACTGCTTTAATGAAGACTAAACAATAGAAATTGAACTCCAATATGCAGGTTCAAATTTTTGTTTAAAATGTTCATGGATTTACCACTAACTCAAAAAGGTTCACTTCTCTCATTCTCTATAATAACTGTTAAATGATGCCAACAACAGTTTATAAGAACTGCTTATATAAGCCATAGAAAGTTAAATATTATGATAGGTACATACATTGTGCTTTTTTAAGTGTCCAGTTTACCATATACATATTTGAAAGAGAGGAGAGGAAACAGACTAAAGAAATAATTTGAGAGTAGAGACTTATTAAGACTTATTTGTGTATTTGAGCTAAATATACAAATCTTTACTTCTCCACCAATTCTTTATCCCCAGAATTAATCTCAGAAATCTGAGCGTATCTAATTGGAAAAAGAAACATTTATGGACACACATAACTTGTGCCTAAAAATATATTTGTCTATTTAACACTTAAAACAAATGTGAGAGATAGGTATTGTTTCCAGATGAGGACAATGAGGCAGAGAAGTATCAAGCAACTTGCCAAAGGTCACAAGATTCCATGGTTGCACAAAGTCAGTTTGTCTGGCTCCAGAGCTCCAAAGGTATGTTGTGGTTTTTGTTTTGTTTTTTTTCCTCTGCATCAACCTATCTTCCAAAATTATTAATGATACATATGAACTTCAACTAATTTATTTTTAAAGAACAGAAACAAAGAAGGATCTCCCTTATAAATTCCTAGGGTGTTTTTTCTTTCTATAACATCTAGTACAATATCATAAATATAAGCATATTGTTTCAAATCTATTTTAAACTATCAACAATATGAAGAACAGTCCTCAAAGGAAACACCTAAAAAAAAAAAACTTTTGGAACAAAGATAATGAAACCCCCCATTTTCAAATTAAGACACAAGGACAGAAAATACAATTTCTGTTATCACTTCAGCATTGAATTATTATTGGCTACAAGATAGCAATTTTTAGGTTTACATTGTTTTATAATTACTAAGAAGCATTCTGCATAAAAGAAGTCAGCTGATAATTTCAAGTCTCCTATTTAATTTATAAAATCCCCTATGATTTTGTGCTCTACTTCTTAAGTTCCAAGATGTTCAAATATGCTATGTGTATGAGGCTGAGTAATAAAGAATGATAATCCCTTGAAAGACATGAAACGTGATTTCATTTTCAATTTAAAGAAATTGTATCTTTCCTAATGACGAGGAAATTAAGGGAAATAAAATGTGGTTGTGGATCCCAAAGTACCATATATTTTTATGAATTTTTTTAATAAAGCAAAATCAAAACATTATTGGAAATCAGTTACCACCTGGTGGCACTGAAACAGTAATTTATTAATGCCATGTAAAAGTTAATACAGTTTTCAAAGCCAGCTGGCAGACAGGTTTGGCTGGTGTGTTTTATCAACAGCACAAGGAGGTATATAAGGATTTCATTTTTAAGGACACATGCAAAATACATATAGCTACTGTATATATGAGCCCTGCTTTTGGTTTCATTGTGAAATTGCAAAAACTCAATACACACGTTAATTTTTATACCTAAGTCTGAAACATTACCAAGGTTTGTAAAAATCCTACTACCTGACCTTCATTCCAAGAAGATCTGAAAGTAAAATAAATTTGGAAATTCAATATTCTATTCACTTGGCCTCATTCTTACTTTTCCTTTTTCAGCTGAGTGGACGGATGAAAAAAAAACAAGTATGATTTACTTTAAAAGCAAAATCTATTTAAAATGTCTTGTGCTCTAATGGCTAAAATTAGAAGTTTCAGAAATAAGGAATAAAACATTCAAAAGTAAAACTCAAGATTCATAAAACTCCAAACAGCTTTGGGAAAGTGTATACATAGAAATGATACTATGATATTTTATTTCCATAGTAAGGCAAACATAATATGGTGTCCAGAAACAAATAATTCATCTTATGAAGCTAGGTAACTAACTTTTAGCAAACAAATACAACTAATCTCACTTACACTTACACTGAGATTCTATATTGCCTTTCCTTTGTGGCAAAACATCAAGAAACAAACTCTGTGAGTGAATATGTAACGGGGATTTTTTCACCACCACCCCCTTTATGAAAAAATCCCTCAATGTTTTTAAAAGCCACACTCATTTCCGTTTTATGCTTTACACATGCTGATTATTTTTATGATAAAATATAATTTTTACAGTGTTTAAGACATTGCCACTCTACCAAAAGAAGAGCAAGTAGAATTAGTACCTTCAAAAATAATAGAAATCATCTAAAGAAGTACTCTTGTGGGCTGCCTTCTGAGACAAATGCAAAAGCCAGGGTTGTCTCAAGCACAGTGAGGTCAACTTTCACGTTTATGTCAGCAGCTAATCATAACCAAATTCTGAAATGCTTACTTGGTTTTCATTATTAAAGAAACAACTTATTTGGTGAAAACTTCAAGAATAATTCTTAGCTTGCTGTATTTTACAGTATTAAATTTCTAAGTTACAAATATAGTTACATATATAAGAAAATTAGAAAAAATTTATACTTGAAAGAACAACCATTGAATCTCAATATTTTCAATATATTGTCCTGCTCTATTTATAACCCAGGAAAGAAAGAGGAAATGGAGCAAAGAGACAGTAGAACCTGACCGGAAGATAGAAGACCTGGGTTCTCACATTGGTTCTTCGCTAATTCAGTGTATGACCAGCTATATAACTCCAATTAGCCTCATTTTTCTCATCTATAAAAGATGAGGGTTGAACTAGATTATTTCTAAATTCCCTTCCATTGTCAAAGTATTATACCTTTATGATTTTTGTTCTATACATGTCTGTGGGGAAGGTCTTATATTTTTATTAGTAATATTTTTGCCATGGTATGAGTCAAGGAAAGCTATATAAAGAAATGGAGAGGAGAGATGTATTTTAAAAATCTGAAGCCCTAGAGGGAAGAAATCTTTATAAGCACCACCTCCACCAGTTAATAGAAGACTTATAGACAAATTTGAGGGAATTAGGACAGAAGAATGTGCCTGTGCCAAATAAACAGTTTAATTTTTAAGGTCTTTCTCATTTCACCTTACCTCTGATTTTTCCTGATGCTTTTATGCATTTTTCTCATGCTACTCAGAACCACTAGAATAATTAGGTTTTTTAAGTGAGCTAAGCACATAAGTTCAATAAATTCAGAAAACAATGCTGAAGTAGGTATTTTAAAACTAAGTGCTCTGAAGGGAAAAAAAAAAAAAAGTGATTATTATGAGAGCATGTAACAAGATACTCTGACCTAACTGTAAGAGTTCATGTAGAGTTAGAACCAAGAGAAAAAGTTGGGGAAGTTAGAAGGAATAGAAAGTACAAAGGCAAGATATGCTGATGTATGTAGAAGAAATCATTACAAACTGAGTACTTCTCTGTGAACAGATTTAACAGAGCCTTTCTGTAGGATCTTGTACTTTCTGGTTGGTTTCCATTCGATTCCTTGAAAGTTTAGGTCCTTAAATCTTGCCTAGGAGATTGCAGGAACCAGCTAGTTAGGCAAGAGGTCTGTATCATCTAAATATGTGCTTGTCAGCCATTTCACGAGGACAGAGAATGAGATGAAAAGAAAGCAACAAAGGAAGGAGGAGCAGCATGGTGGTGTTTTGTGGGACACAAAAAAACACAATCAAATCAAACCAACATAAATTGTATCTGATCTACATGCTGATGGGATCTGTGAAATATTTCCAGGCTTAATATCTTGGGAATATGTTTGTTCTCTACTATCTTGATTTTCTATAAAACATTTATCAAGTTCAGTTATCGCAACGGGATTACTCCTTTCTTGCCTCTTGAATCTCCTACTCAGAAGATTTTAGTATCACTGTGCATAAGGAAAAAAATACTTCATTTTACAGAAATTCAGTAACTTTCCCATACTGTCCCTATTAATTACACAATGAAGGAAAATTTACCTCGAAACAAGTGCTGCTAATGAAATAATATTTGGCTGGTATGGACTATATATTAAGCACAGTAATATAAATCAACTTGTATGTCAAAAATGAGCAGCCAACTCTGAATTAACTAATTTGAAGTTTGAAATAAGTAGAAAGCAAAGAGTTGGCTGGAAAAAGAACTATAAGAATGTATTAAAATGACATGCTGACTACCTCACAGATACTTATTATGCTAGAAATTTACAAAGGAACTCCAAACATCTATTAATCCCCTTCCCATTTAGAAGCCCCTGACATTAGACCTCCCATAGATATATAAAGTCAATGCTAGCAGAGAAAATATTTTACACTTTAAGATCAATTACAGTATTAAACCATGCTTATTTCCCTTTCATATTTGCCCTTCACCCAAAATGCAGAATCTTCTATTCATCTATCTTCAAATTCAAATATTCCCTATTATGATGTAGTTGGAACTACTTCCTTTGAACACTTTCTGATGTGATTACTGGATCTCCATTCCATTTTAAACAAATTTTCCTCTCCCTTACACTCCTTCACACATCTCTCCATTTCCTTGCCTTATCTGAAAACTGGGTCTCCCTAAGAACTCCACTTCCTCTGTGACAGATGCTAGGTGCTGGGCTGTGGATAACTGAGGAGTTAGGCCCAGAAATGAGTGGTGTTTAGGTAGCTTTCCGTGTAGTTCCAAACCAAATATGTAAGATTATCTTTATGGGTAGAGCATCATTATGTAATGATAGTCTTCTGGTTTCTATCTTAGTATAAGTAATCAGTATGATTGCATTTTGTTTTATTTATCACATTAAGCTGTAAATAATTTCATTATGTGGAATACTCAGTTTCAGTTCACAGTGACGGGAAAAATGGCACTGATTAAGAGTTGAGTTGTACAGCCTATTATTGTAATTGCTGTCAATGCTGTATACCTGTAAAAAGTCAACTTGGCAAAAGTTGTATGATAGATATTGTTACAGATTGAATTGTGTCCCCCAAAAATGTGTGTCAAATTGGCTAGGCCGTGATTCCCAGTATTGTGTTATTATCCACCATTCTGTCATCTGTTGTGATTTCTCTATGTGTTGTAAATCCTACCTCTATGATGTTAATGAGGCAGGATTAGAGACAGTTATGTTAATAAGACAGGACTCAATCTACAAGACTAGGCTGTATCCTAAATTGGTCTCTTTTGAGATATAAAACAGAGAACCAAGCAAAGAGACATGGGGACTTCATACCACCAAGAAAGTAGAGCCAGGAGTGTACGCCTCTGGACTCGAGGTCCCTGTGCTTAGAAGCTCCTAGGGCAGGGGAAGACCTATGACAAGGACCTTCCTCCAGAGCCAACAGAGAGAGAAAGCCTTCCCCTGGAGCTAGCACCCTCAATTTGGACTTCTAGCCTCCTAGACTGAGAATAAATTTCTCCTTGTTAAAGTCATCCACTTGGGGTATTTCTGTTATAGCAGCACTAGATAACCAAGACAGATATATTTACAATGACAAAAAAAAAAAAAAAGAGTAGCTGCTGAGGCTGTTTATGTACAACCAAACACCTCATGTGATTTGGTTCCTTGGTTTGGAGTTAATTGGCAATTAATTGGCCTAGTGCTTTTTGTTCTATCTCCTAGTTCATTGTGTAGGGCCTGGGGTCTTAAAAGCTTGCAAGCAGCCATCCAAGGTACAACAATCAGTCTCTACTCGCCTGGAGCAACAGAGAAAGAAGGAGAGTCAGGAATAAGAGGAGGAAATGGATGTGTGGCTAATTGCTTCCAGTAACAACTGCCTCCTCTGCCATGAGACCAGAAGAACTCGATGGTGCCCAGCTACCATTACTGAACATTTTGATGAAAGAGTCTATAGAATAATCTTGATCTATAGGGAGAAAATGTAGAACAGAATTTCAAATCTTCATGGAATCCAGATTTTTCTAGAGCCATGGAGCCTGGATAAACCCCTGAAACCATTGCCCTGAGATAATCTTTAAACCTCAAACCAAAAATATCCCCTGAAGTCTTCTTAAAACCAAACAGTAGTTTAGCTTAACTAGTAAAGAAAGTCTGTCTTGAGCATTATGCTCTTTTAAGATCCATCTATGGGATCAAATTGACAACAGCAACTTGAAAGATTAGGTAGGAACCTTAGCGGGCAATGAGTTTATGTTAATGGGGGAAGAACAGCTCAAAAAGGAGGGGGAAAATGGTCGCACAACTCAAAGAATGTAATCAATGTAACTGAATTGTACACGTAGAAACTGCTGAACTGGTGTATATTTTGCTGTATATAGTCTCAGCAACAAATAAATAAATTTAAAAAAATAAATAAATCCTGAATCTGCCCCCAAAAATGTCATTATGTTGTTACATTTTATAATATGTTTATATGAGATAAAAATAAACAAAACAGTAAACAATTTATTCTATTTACGGAATCAGACAGGTCAGCAGATTATCAACAACACATGGAGTTTTCTTCTGAAGGGTTAGTGTTGGAAAGATGTATGCCAAAAAGCTCCTCATTCCATCTGTGAGTCCCTGAGCTCTACCACTTTCCCTAGGGCACAGCAGTGTCTTTCACCATCCTGTGTCCCCTGCCAACATGCTACCTAGAGATATGAAATATACCCTTGCCTGAAATATTTTTTAATCCTCTACTACTCTCTAATCTCTGGGCTGCCTTTGATATTTAGTTATCACAAATGGGCCTACTCCAAGATGTCATAGTGCCTTCATAAATTCCATCATAAACAGAAAAGTTTAATGTCATCCTCTTTCTAAGGAAAAATTAAATGACATTTCATTTTACATTTGCCCCCAAGTAATTGTTATATCTATATAATGACGGTGTTGGCCTCAGCAGTCACTTGAGGCTAACAAGGGACTGGTTGCCAACCCGGGCTCCATATCAGAATCACCCACGGAGATGTTTTAAAATTCAGATTTACTGACCAACTCCAGATCTACAGAATTAGAATCTCTAGATTCAGGGTTCCAAATTTCTATGATTGTTACCTTAGTAATTTTTGCTCATAGTAAACTTTCAAGCAATACAGAAGGCAAAAAGTACTAAGTAAAAGTTTCCCCAAATCTCCCCATTCTCCCATTCTCACTACCCAGGGGAAATCACTTAAAATGTTTTAAATTATCCTTCCAGAAATATAGGTACATATAATTGTAAACACCCCTCCCCCAACACATACATTTGAAAAGCACAAATGGCATCATACTATTCTGGAACTTGCTTTCTTCAATTAGCAACAGATCCTTGACAATTTCCATTATCAGCACAAATTGATGCGCTTCATTTTTTTTATAGCTCACAGTTTTGTACTTTATGGATGAACTCTAATTTTTTAAATCTGTATCCTACTGACAAACATGTAAATTGTTTCCTTTTTTGTGCTTTTTTTTGGTCACTACTCACAATGCTATAAAGAATCTTTTTTGCATACTTAAATGAGTCATCTGTAGCAAGTTATAGAAGCAGAGTTGCTGAACCAAAGAGTACATTTCTATCTTATCTGTGTACGTGTATGTAATCTTTCCATAGTTATGTGTGTATATGTATATATGTGTATCTTTCCATACTAATATGTGTGTTTGTGTGTATATACTAATATATACTTTCCATACTTATGTGAGTTACAGGAGTAGAATTGCTGAGTCAAAGGGTACATATATCTATATATTTGTATCTATATCTTTCCATATGTATATATTTCTTTCCATATGTATAGAGAAATATGTACAATATGTATGGGAAGAAATATATAGTATATATCTTTCCATATATATATTTATATATTTGTGTGTATATCTTTACATGCTTAGATGAGTTTTAAGAGTGGAATTGCTATGTCAAAGGGTACATATATCACAACCAGTTTTGATAGATACCATAAAGTTGTCTTCCAAAACAATTGCACCAAGTACCATAGTGTATAAGGGTGAGTGTTTCCTGACAACTTTGCCACTAT